GGCTTTGCTCAAGCCCATCCCTTTAGCGTGGAATCCAACTTGGCATTCCACGCCCTCGCGTCTCGCCGCAAGCCATAGAGGGCCTTGCGCAGTGAGCACTCTGCCCTCCTTGCCGGGATCGCAAATCCCCGCGGGTGGTGCACGAGACCTCCTCCTTCAAGTCGCCGTTAAGGAACGCCGACTTGACGTCCATGTGGTGAACACGCCAGCCCCTCCCGGGCAGCTAAGCGCAAGGAGGAGTCGACGGACTCCATCCGTGCCACACGAACAAAAGCGTCGTCGAAGTCGACCCCCTCCTGCTGCACGAAACCTCATGCCACCAAGCGAGCCTTGTGCTTGACGATGGCGCCGGCTTCATCCCTCTTCAACTTGTACACCCACTTAAGGGTGATCGCGCGGTGACCACGAGGAAGGTCAGCAAGCTCCCAGGTGCGGTTCTTCTCAACCGCATCCATCTCCAACTGCATCGCGGCGCGCCATGCCGCGTGTCTCTCGGCCTCTGCAAACGACCGAGGCTCGCCGTCGTCACACGCAAGGTGCAACTGCGCCTCCAGGTCGTGAGGCACCGGTCCCGGCACCGGCTGGTCGCCGAGAAGGTTCTCCACCGTACGGTACCGCAACGGCTCACCGTCGTGGTACGCGTCGACGCGCTCCTCGTCGTGAGAGAGCGAGATAGCGAGCTCAACGGGTCGTGCTCGACACGAGCTGGTGGTGGAGTAGACGTGCCGGAGTGGTGCCTGTCGGTCGGAGTGCGGCGCGTTGCGGCCGTGGTGGAGCTGGGCGAAGAGCTCATCGCAGCCGAGGTCCTGGCTGGAGAGCGTGGTGCTGTCGGAGTAGCAGGTGCCGGGGTCGGTGGAGGCTCGGAGACTGGGGTAGACGCGCTCGTCGAAGAAGAACTGCCTACTCCCCCAGCTCCCTCGAAGTGGACGTACTCGATAGTGAAGTCGTCGTACGTCGGAGCCGAGCCGTCGTCCACTGCCTTGTCCCACGCCCATCCTCGCCCTTCGTCGAACACAACGTCGCGCGCCGTGCGCACACGCTGTGTCTTCGGGTCGAGGATGCGGTAGGCCTTCGAGCCCTCCGCGTAGCCGATGAACACTCCCGGAGTGCTCCTGTCGTCGAGCTTGCTGATGTGGCCAAGCTCCTTGGCAAATGCGAGGCAACCGAAGACCCGCAAGTGGGAGACCGCCGGCTTGCGCCCATGCCAAGCCTCGTACGGCGTCCTGCCGTCGAGCGCCTTGGTAGGCGAGTGGTTGAGGATGTAGATGGCCGTCACCACCGCCTCTCCCCAGAAGATAGCCGGCATCCCCCTCTGCTTGAGGAGGGCCCGAGCCATCCCCACAACCATCTGGTTGCGCTGCTCGACGACGCCGTTCTGCTGCGGGCTGTACGGCGCGGAGTAGTGGCGCTGAATGCCCTCGTCAGCGCAGTACGACGCGAATTCAGCCGCCGTGAATTCGCCGCCGTTGTCGGTGCGCAGCACGCGCAGCTTGCGGCCGCACTCCGCCTCCGTAGCAGCCTGCGCGCGCCTGATGGCGTCCGCAGCCTCTCTCTTGCTACCGAGGACCATCACCCACATATAGCGGGAGAGGTCGTCGACGAGCAGCAGGAAGTAGCGTCGTCCTCCCGGTGTGGCCGGTGTCACCGGGCCACACAAGTCCCCGTGCACAAGCTCGAGCCTCTCCTTGGCTCGAAAGCTCACCCGCTGGGGAAAGGGGAGTCGCCTCTGCTTCGTCAACACGCAGACGTCGCAGAGCTGCTCCACATGGTCGAGGCACGGCAGGCCTCGCACCATCTCCGTGGCACTGAGCCGCTTCAGGGCCTCAAAGTGAAGGTGCCCAACGCTGCGTTATCGCGCACGCCTCGTCGTCCCGACGAGCGCGAACGAGAGAGGGTTGTGCCACCGCACGTTAAGAACGTAGAGTCGATTTGCGCTTCTGGATACCTTGGCAAGAAGGCGACGACGACGATCCCAAATCCTCATGACTCCGTCCTCAACCACCACGCGCGAACCGTTCTCATCCAGCTGTCCCAAGTTGATGATGGAGTTCCTCAACGCGGGGATGTAGTAGACTCCGGTGAGCGCTGTGCTGTGCTCGTAGGACACGGTGGTGAAGATGACGGAGCCGACGCCCTTGATCTCCACGCCGGAGGCATCCCCAAACTTGACGGAGCCTCGAATGCTAGAGTCAAGCTCGGTGAAGAACTCCCGTCGACCGGTCATGTGATGGGTGGCGCCGGTGTCGAGGCACCACCCGTCAGTCTTGTCGTTGCCGGAGCTGTCGCCGAGGAGGGCGTGTGCTTTTGGCTCGTCGAGGTGGAGGAGAGCCGCTGCGGCCGGTGCCGCTGGAGGTAGCTCGATGCTGGCATGTGCCATGAACAGAGCCGGCTCCTCCTCCGCCTGTGCGACGTGGGCCTGGCCGCGTCGTGGCTGTCGACAGTCCTTGGCCCAATGGCCAAGCTGGCCGCAGTTGCGGCAGGTGTCGTCTCGTGCCGGCTTGTGCCTGCCGGCGGCGCCGCCCTGGGCGCCTCCGCGGGCATCACCCTCGGCACGTCCTCGCGCCCCGGCCTGGGCGTCTCTGCGCGCCTTGCGCGGCTTGCCACGCTTGCGGCCGCCTGTCGCGGAAGAAGGCTCCCCCTTCCTCCGGTCACCCTGGCTGGCAAGCCACTGCTCCCGAGTGAGAAGGAGCTTTCCGCCCGGTGGTGATGGGCCCCGAGAGGATCGTGGCTCATCATCGTCGACGACCTTGAGGCGACCTATCGCCTCCTCGATCGACATCGTGAAGAGATCCAAAGCGACTTCGATCGAGCGAGCCATCCGCTTGTACTTCTCGGGACGCAGCGGAAGAGCTTTTCGGCGACTCTCTCTCTCGCCGTAGGTGTCGTCGCCGAATCGCACCATCTTCGCAGCAGAGAGTGTTGAGACGGAGAGCAAAGTCATCAACGTCCTCACACGGCTTGAAGGCCGGTTCTCCCACTCCTTGCGAAGTGCTCGCAGCGTGGACTTGCGGGCGCGGTCATTGTCGCGCGCGTGCTTGCAGATGATGGCGTCCCAAGCCTCCTTGGCGATCCGCTTCTTCGGTAAGCGAGAAGCGCATCTCGGGTGGGGCTGCAGCGATGAGAGCATCCGGCGCCCGTCGATCTAGGTCGTAGTCGACGCCGCCATACCGGACCGCCTCCCACATGTGCCGCACACGGAGCTTTACCCTCATCACCGCAGCCCACTCGGACGTAGTTGGTCTTGGTGAGGTAGGCCACCCACCGCCGGGACCGACGTCCACGACAATACTGGAGCCCGTGGGTAACCACGGTACCGATCCGGGAGAGAGAGCCCGCCGCGCTGTGAAGGCCGCGCTCTCCATCGACCCGCCCGCCACCGCTGCGTGCGGCGCGCCTCCTCCAGAGTGCCACCGCGCGCGCCTGCGCTGTCTGGCTGCCGCGCGCGGTTCGTGGGCGTCTGGCTGCCCCAGAGCGCCACCGCCGCGCGCGCGCCTCCAGAGCGCCGCCAGCCCGTCGCGCTTTGTTGGGCTGCCGCCACGCTCGTGGACGTGCGCGGCTGCCCATTGCGCCGCCCGCGCTCGCGCTGCCTCCCTCTCTAGCAGCTCGAGGTCTGCGTCGGCGGTGTCGTCAGCGGAAATGGAGCTGCCGATCTTTGCCGCAGAAACCTCGACCTCCGCCGCCGCCGCCGCGCCGCGCGCCGCGCATTCGCCGCCGCCGCCGCCGCCGCCTCGCTCTCGTCTGCTGCCAGCTCCGCCGCGCCGCTAACCTCGGCGCCCTTTTGCGCGCGCCGCGGGTCTCTCGCCGCCGCTTCGCTCGCGTTCTCTGCTGCGGCAAGTTCGCCCTCCGCCGACGCCCGCGTGCTTTCGAGGGCGATCGAAGGCCGAGATCGCCTGCGGACATGACGCGCTACTGGGGGCTGCTGCGTGGGGAGAGGGCTGCCAGACGAGCCGGGAGAGGAGTGAACAGAGCGGCGGAGCTGCTGCTACTCTCGATTAGAAAATATTGCTAAGGTGGGCAAGGGATGAGCAGGAGATGCTCGAGCTCTGAGGATACTACTGGCTCCGATACCACTTGTTAGTCGCTGAATTCTCACTCTTGGTAGTAGGAGAATTCTTACTCTCATCGAGAGAGGATGACACTAGGAGTTAGGGCAATTTTCTTGTCTATTTTCACACAAGCTCACACAAATGCCATACCAACCCGAGGGGTTGGGGTTATATATTTATAGGCTGCTAGCCTTGCCCAAAGATATGCCAAGATGCTAGTCTAAGATGCTAATATGCTGTCTAGCTAAGATGTCTTGTCCTCAGATCTAAGATCTTTGTCTCAAGATCTTTGTCCTACAATGCAAGAGATCTTGTCCTAAAAACAGAAAAACAACCACAAGGACCATATGAGCAACAACAGCCCCATAAAGACCAGCCACACATGACTTATCCAGCACTCTTTGGCCAAATTCGTAAATTATGTTTGGTGTGGCAGAGTTGAAGCCACCAAATTGCATCCTTTGAGCTGGACAACATGAGTCCGAGAAGCATTATATCAGAGTCAAGCACTGAATCTTTGTCATACTAGCCACAAGCTACATCTTTTTGAACATAGCTTTTACCCTGTTAATAATGGTAGAGAATTTTTTTTTCTGGAACAATTTCAGTGTTCCTATCCTATCAGCCAATCATCTCTGAAAAGAATATAAATAGCTTTTATATAGTTCTATATAACCACAATCATTTTTATGTACAGATCCATTTCATTCTACTGAAACTTTCGTGAATGGCGGGAAGGAATCGACTTCCCCTGCTTCCGGCCTTGCTGCTTCATTCTACTGAAACTTTCGTGAATGGCTGGAAGGAATGGACTTCCCCTGCTTCCGGCCTTGCTGCTGGATTTTCGTTCTGTCGATCGATTGCAATTGCAAGAGGGGGTTTGCCTGCCGTTTGCGCTTGCAAACACAAGGCGAACAACAGTTGAAACTTGATGAAACAAAGAGCGCGACAGGATCACTCGGTGCTCCTGTGACCTGACGAAGCCATGAGCACGGCGACAGCGGCGACGAACATGAAGAGCATGAAGCCGAGCAGGACGTAGGTCTTCCGCGACGACTTGCGGTACTCCCCGAAGAGCAGGACGCCCCAGAAGGTGCTGACGAGCGGCAGCGCCTGGACGGCGTCGGCGGCAGCGTAGCCCGCGGCCTGGCCACCCATGAACTGGAAGCCGTTGCCGAAGCCACAGAGCAGGCCGGCGAGGAGCGCCCACTGCCGGCCGTTCCAGTCCCTGAGGTAGGCGCTGAAGGAGGACTTGGGCACGCCGGCCATGGGGCGGTAGAGGAAGAGGATGTTGAGGCCCACGCCGATGACGAAGCACGAGATGGAGAAGTAGAAGAAGGCGGTGTACACCACCAGGTGCGGCACGCTGTCCTTGAGCGTGTGCCACTGGTCGTTGGTCGCCAGGTTGAACGCCGGCGAGAAGAGCGAGAAGCACACCCCCGCGAAGAAGACGATCCCCAGCCCGATGATGGTGTTCGAGCCGAATACCTGGTAAGGTGTTTGTACGTACAATACAATTATCACCAAGATCAAACCCCACAGCATTGTGGCGAGGATGTTTGTTCAGAACAAATCTGTGTTTGTTCATCCATAAGTATATGGATGAACCGTGAACGAGCGACGAAACGAAGGTTTACCTTGATTGATCGCCGTTCTTCGAGTTCAATGAGGTATTCTGCAGTGCCTGCCTCAGCTTTGTCAGCTTGCTTGGTTCCAGAGGCTCCATTCTCCAAGTCTTTGGGAGCATCTGAAATTAGATTTGTTTTTTCTTTAGATAATGAACATCTGAAACTAGATATAGAGTTACTAAAAGAATCTGCAACAAATCAGCAGCAGTTTTCAGTTTTCACACTTTATTACACTGTACCTTTGTCTAGGACTTGTTTGCTTGGTTCAACAGTTCCACTTGTCCTGTAAACGTTGTGCGGAAGAACAATCAGAGCAGTCTACTATTATAAATAAAAAGATGTAAATGGCCTAACGTTCAGAGATACTGAATTTAGGAGGTGATTCAGTCACAGATACGGTGCAAAATCTGAATGATCAGATCCTTGTCAAAGAGAGAAAAAGCGGAAGAAAAACAGTAATTACCCAAGTTTGTTGGCATTTGTGGAGCCACTGAGTTTCTTCTCATTGTCAGCTGCATTGGAGGCATGGACAGCAGAGCCAAGGATGACAGCAACAAGGAAGCATGCCACACCGGGGAACAGAATCTCTGCCCGGTTGATGCGGTTGTCCAGGAAGTAGTTCAGTGTCGTGCCTGAAAAACACAAGGGATGGTACAGCACATATGATTTATTAGTCATGTATGAACATTGAAAAATCAGGAATTCAAATAATACTTTTCTGTCCAACACATTGACATTTTTGTTCCAAGGATGCTCCTTAATAGACTAACTACATGATGTTCTTCTATTTCAAAGCTGATAGTAACATTTCTTCATCTGTGTTTCAAAAAAAAACATTTCTTCATCTGCACAAATAAATAAATAAATACACACATATTGCCCTGACACAACACAAGGAGCTTGCTTACAAGTTACAACTAATAGGCCAATTTGCTCAAGAAACTTGTTCTGTCAGACTACCACCGCATGATTTGCTTGAATCTCAAAAGAAAATGTAGACATTTCATTTTTTCCCCTTGTCAGCAAGCAAGATCTTTTTTTCTAGATATTCCTAGACTCCAAAGCAAAGCAAATTTCATTTATGGGAAAAAAATAATAAAAAGGTAAATTCCCATGATCATTGAGGTCCCTCCCATCCCATGTGATTAACAACGATGGTGACATGATGGAGATTGGAGAATGAGCTGCCCCACTGAGGCACTGACCAGATCTTAGACAGAGAAGCGATGGAGATCACCAACATACCAATGACCACCACCATGCTGGAGCTGATGACCTCAGTGACGGAGAGCCCGACATACGCCCACGCATACTGCGTCGAGAGGTTCCCGACGCTGAGCACGACGCCGCCCGCCATGGCGAAGAGCACGGAAGGCCAGTTGTCCTGGCCGAGCTGCGTGAAGAAGTTGGGCATGCCGCGCTTGCTGTCCCCGAGCTGGCCGAAGGTGAGCGCGATGAGCACGGCGGCGAGGAGGTTGGTGAGGGAGTAGTCCAGGTACGTGTGCTGCGGCAGCCGACCCCGGCGCTCCAGCAGGGTGAGCACCGCCGGCCAGGTGCCCAGGAACAGCAGCGACGCCAGCATAAGCGCGATGGCGCCGCCCTTGTCCTCGATCACGAACATGCTGAGCCTGGCTCTGATGGACGACAGTAGTAGAGGACCTTCTTCTTGGAGCACCTGCAGCAGGCAATAAGCCAATAAGTGATCGATCATGGAGCTCTTGCTTCTGACATGTTTTGGTAGAACTGAAATCAAATGTTGTTGTACCAAATTTTGGGTCTATTTTCAGTTATTTTACACATGATGCATCCTAAATCTTCATTTTCTGTTTTGAGAAGAAGCTACTACAGAAACACCAGGAAGATACAAAACATGATGAATATGAAAGGGGCCCTCCAGCTACCGTCCGTCCGTCCCCAGGGATGAGATTCAGATTCAGATTCATCAGAGCAGGGGAAGAGGAAGATCCACCCCAATATCTCAACCAGAACCAACCGGAGAAAGGAAGCATGTCCATGAACAAGATGAAGAACAAGAGCACAAAGCAGAAAGCTCCTACCTTGTGGCAACTGAGCAGAGAAGACGCACATGCAAGAACATGTTCCATGGCCGTTTTATAGCAGCCACTGACTAACAAGCCCTGCCACTGACCAAAAAGTCCAACTTGCTCTGCATCAGTTTGACTGGCGCCGCGGACGCGAGTTTGCGGCGTCTGTCTGTCTCCTTGAGATCCATTCACCAATGGCGTTGGAGATTTATGGGAAGTGGGAAAAGAGGAGGAGGAGAGATGATGAAATCGACAAGGGATGCACTCATCGGCGTAGAAAATAATGGGAGCGATGACAGTGACCCTCCGGTCATTTGCCTCCAACGCTCCACGATTTTCTGAACATTTTCTTCTTCTTCTTTTCGTTGGATTTTTTCCCCTCCATCCAATCAGGGAGCAGAGCAGACATGGATTAAAAAGGTAATGTTGAATTGGTCCAGTGAATTAGACACAAAAAAGAAAAGGTAGTGGATTTAGTGCACAAAACCATGCATGCATGTCTCTTTCAGTGATATCATCATCCAAGAACAAACAAACAAATAAAAGATCCATGTGTGAACCCAACCCAAGGAAGAGAAGGCTTCGTTGACCCATCGCCCATGCCCTCCCTCCCACACGAACGAGATAGAAATCCCTGGCCTCATTCGCCCTTCATTTTGTTTCATCCTGACAAAATGGAGAACAGAACTGAAGCGAGGGGCTTTCGCCGATACGACGTCGCCAGCAATCGATCTCCTCGGCGGTGGAGCGCCATAACATCCCAGATTCCCAGGAATGATGATGACCTCAGGCTCAGTAGGGTAAAGAAACGAGACAAGGGAGAAAGGTACCTGAGAGATGCTAGGTCGCACGCACGCGCAGGAGACGAAGACGAGGAACAAGAGCGAATTCGTCTCTCCTCCTCCTCGAGAGAGAGATGCCCAGAAGAACTAACAGCCGGCGTCTCTCACTTTCTGCTACTGCTGCTACTGAAGCTGATCCATGGGGGAGTTTCGTGGTATATCTCTACAGGTGCTTATATTCTATGGTTGTGTGGCGATGATTTCGTTGAACACAGTTGTCTAAAGATTCTCGGAGGTGCTTTATTTATTGTATTAATTAACAAAACAAATAGGAGGAGTATCCTTTGACTCCGGATCTGGAGAGCGGCGGTTGGACAGATTCCCCGTTCCCGGCCGATCAACCAGGAAGATTGCCGCGCCATTCGGCTTGGTTTGTTGGGTCGTCCTCGCTCTCCACTCTCCCCGCCGTGCGTGCGTCGTGAGCGTGGCTGCGGTTGGTTTGCGTGCCTCAAAAGTTATAAGTATCTCCCCGCCGTTCAAAAAAATGCAATTCACACGGTATCAAGTTTAAGTATTTCAATGTTCAAAAAAAAAAGTTAAAAAAGTATTTCAACCGATCAAAAAAAAAGTTAAAGTATTTCAAATTTAACTAACATATAAAATTGCTCATAGTTATGACATCAAATAAATATTATTAGATTTGTTATGAGCTATATTTTCATAATATACTTGTTTGATGTCAAATACATTAATATTTTGATCTATATATTTGATGACATTTTGGACACTTTAACAGAGAATGCACATAGAATTACATTTTTTAATACATAGGTAGTATTTAGGTACAAAAATATTACAAGCCCAGTTAGGCTTAGCTGATTATGTTCTCCGACACGAGTTGTGATGCATTCTAGCTTACAAACCATTTCTACATATTAATTTTTATTGACGGTTGGCTTAATAAAATTCATTGTAAAATTCTACTTATTTTTAAGGGTGGTTGACGTAAAACAACTGCCACTAAAATAGAGCATTAGAGCAACTCCAACAGAGTGGCTATTTGTGTTGTGGAATATATTTTTAGGTATTTTCACAAGAATTAGAAGTCCAACAGCTATTCTATCGTGTGATCCAAAATAACCAGTCTGCTATCCCGTGTTTCTAGCTGGGCAAAGAAAGCAAGCTGTAGAGGCTCGCCATCGGCCTATCCGTGCCTATTCCTGCATGGCGCTCGCGATAGGTAGTGTTTGGTGGCATGCAAGCAGATGGTGAGAGTACACAAACCAGGGAAGTGAGCCAATCCGAGCATGACGTGTGAGTTCTAAAAAATAGATGATGAGAATTTAGAAAGGCTGTTGCATTACGCTGTTTTTTTAGAGGAAGTTTTATTTTGGACAATGGCTAAATCAATGGTTTTAGAATCTAATTTTACATAATCATTTGGAGTTGCTCTTAGGGATGGTTTTTATGTTAACCGCCCATAAAAATAGGTGATCTGTAAGTGTTAAGTGCCTTCGAAAATCAAAATTTTGAAGCGACTGACTAAGTCAACGACCCATTAGAATAGCTAACATATAAATTCATAACTATTATTAAATGAAATCGTATGGAGAGGGAATTTAGGGGGTATTTGGGACTGCTCCACAAACTCTGCTCCATAAACTTCACCATGGAGCAGCTCTACACAAACCTAAAGTTTGTGGAGCACCCTTGATGAGGACATGACACCTTCGAATATGACCATTGATTATAAGGTGAGCTCATTCCTATATATTGCATAGTGATTTTTTTGGTATAATTCACTTGTTCCACATGTACATGTCATTATTTGATTGTAGGTACAAATGTGTTTCAAAGTGCAAATCCATCGAAGTTGAACTTTCAGGTCATCGGCAGCCCGACAACACTCTATTGGGAAGGCCATAACTCTTTCACCTGGAGTGAGTTTGCAAGTGCATCTAGCCCTTTAGTGAGTTTTGGTGAACTGAATGACAACACCATTAAAGGTCTAACAAGTTTGCTAAATATTGAACAGGAAATTGAGTTTATTGTATACACTTGTGGACTGTGAAATGAGAAGTGTACATAGGTTCAACAAGAAGACAAACTTGATGATATTCCATATAATGTTCAAATCAAGGCCAAAATTGTGTATTGTTGTGTTGGAAGATCACAAAAACAATATAGTTCAAGAGAAAGACAACAATACAAATGGAGTTGATGAAATGGCTTCTATGTTGAGTAATATCATAGTATCATGAGAAAGCAAGCATATTTGGCAAATGTTAAAAGAGACATGAGTTGATGATTTTGGATTGGTCTCAATAATGGCTTACTTTGCATGAACAAGAAGAGTTTGATAGTGGATTAGCTTTGATCAAGGATTGGAGAATAAGTCAACAATGCATAAGTGAAAAAATACCAAGCAAAGGTTTAAATAACAAAGGACACAACTCATATTAGATATAAGTCGGTCTCTATGTTGGGTTGCTTATATGGATAAAGATTTAGAAAATCACTTTGCATTGCTTTGATCAAGCTAGAAGTATGAAGATAAATATTGAAGTAAGTATTAGGAGTGTCAAGCCAAAATAAAGAGGATATAAGGAATCATGAATTGTCTTGATCATATTGATGTTGATTCATATATGTCTTTATATGAATCAAACTAAAGCTTGATTGATCTCAACATTCATATCTAGAAGATATTCAAGCAAGGATCATACTATTGAAGAAATGGTTTTTTCAATGGATACTTAATATGACGTGACTTGAGTATGGCTTGATAAGGTGAAGATAGCAAGGAAAGGGCTTTGAGGGACTAAGCGAAGTTGAAGGGCAAGCGATGGCTTGAGGACCGAGGTACCATGGCTAAGGTGAAGAAGAGAGTACTTGCATTGAGTCGAGTAACTAATCAAGCTATGAGGAGTCATATTGTGTGAGGATCAAATCATCAGTGAAAGTGACTTGAAGCCATTCAGGGGAACTCATATGTATGGAAATGGTTCAAGTCACATGCTCAAGGTGTGGTTGCTCGAATAGATGAGATAAAGATGATTGCAACCCCTTATGAAGTGATATTGAGAAGAAATGGCATATGAAGATATTAAAGACTCAAGTGGTTAAAATGGTTCAAGTTACATGCTTAAGGCATAATGGGAATGAGGACAATACATTCGATGGTGGAGCCCCCTACTATAAAAAGGAAGCGGTGACCAACTCAAAGGTGTTTAAATGCTTTGATCTTTTGAATTTGAGTATAGGAAAAGCCATACTATAAAGAGGGACACAATGCTTAAGCTAACATGTGCTACCAAGTGCTCAAACTTACACATGCATCCTCAGATTCACAGCCAAGACAGCCAACACTTCACTCTTACCCTTGCTGTCTTGCCTGGTGTGGCACTGCCGCACCTAAAGAGAGGCACTGCCACAGTACGACACTGCCGCACTTGAGCCACGGCACTGCCACGACTTAAGTGACCGTTGGGGCTAGGGGGTATTTATACCTTTCCCCTTCCTCCCCAACTTCTCTCTGGTGCACTCCACTCATTCCAACTCGTCTAAAATAGAAAAGGAGCTCTATCTCTCTCCCTCACTCACCATTGGAGCCCCTCAAGCTTCTCCCTTTGATTCTCTTCCAAATCCAAGTGAGTTTGAGCTTCCAAACTACTTTAGAGAGCAGCCCCAACTGTTCTTCATCTCCTAGAGCACTTGGTTCACATTTTGGTCGGTGGTTGTGTTTATTACTCTTGGAGCTTTGCTCCTAGCCGGCTAGAGCGTCGTCCATGGAGCTTGCCAACTTGTGTGGTAGCCCCGGAAGGTTTGTAATCACCCTAAATAGCTAGTGAAATCACCCCTCATCTCAAGAGTTCATTCTCTTGACTTGAGAACGAGGAAAGTGTTGAAAGAGACCTAAAGCCTTTGTGGCAACCTCAACAACGTGGACATAGGTAAGCCTTAATGGCAAGCTGAACCATGGGATAAATCGGTGTCTCAGTTGTGTTCTTGTGATTTACATTGCTATACTTGTATTTGTGGTGATTTTAGGGTTTGGTCCCGATCTACTTACTCATGCAGTTCTGCCAACATCCAAGTGGTGGAATAGGCTCTACACTACCCCAGGAACATCAGTAATTTGCTCGATCTACTTTTTCTTGGGCAGGTTTTGAATTGTAGTTCGAGCTTGTCTACAGGCACGACAGTGCCATACTTTTGTGCGGCAGTGCTACACTGTCATCTTCTCACTAGAACAGGTCCAGTCTTTGTTGAGCTGGT